CTCCTCCTCTTGCCTCATATCTCCATTTTCTGATGAGCCACTCTGTTGAGCTCCAACAAACATAACCCTTTATGGGTAGCATAATAACCCACAAAAAGACATTTCACAATAGTGGAATCCAGCTTCCCTACTAATGCTCAATTGTCCGTCATGAAACATACACAACCAAATATACTCAATAGGAGGATCTTGTCATTATCTCCTTTCAATAACTCACAAGAAGATTGTCACCCCAACACTCTTGAAGACATTCTATTAACTAATTGAGCGGTTGTCAAAACTGCTTTCCCCCACAGGTGCTCTAGTACATTCATTGAGATTATCATGCATCAGATTACCTCTAAAAGGTGTATGTTCTTTTCTGATATTCTATTTTGTGCCAATGTGTATGGACAAGTGATTTGATTTTGTATCCCTTGGGCTGACATGTACTCCTAAACGCTTTGTCGGTATACTCTGTCTTATTATAAAAACTTAATATCTTCACTACTGCATTGTATTGAATTTTAATTATCCTGTTAAAATCTTTAAAGCAGATAAACACATCACTTTTGTCTCTCTTCATATATAACAAAATAACATGACAAAAATAATCAATGAAAGCAACAAAATATCTATAGTTGCTCGTCGAAATTGTAGAAAATGACCTTCATACATTTGAATGCACCAAATCAAAACACAAGAACTTCTATTAATAGAACTAAGATAAGAGTTTCTGGTATGCTTACCCAACTCACATGCATCACCTACAAGTTCTTTTTTATTTTCTTCCTCATACAAAGACATATACAAATGCCTCAAAAGACTAAATGAAGATTGTTCCATGCACCTTTGACTCGTCCCAGATCCTCCTACTCCAGCACGTTCCATGGATGTCAGTACTAAGTCCATCCCCTCTCTATTCAAGTATCAGATTCCACTATTTCACATACAAGTCTCAATTCTCCGACCAGTACCCTTCACTTGAAATATCACCTTAGGAATATCAAAGAAAACAACACATTTTAGTGGAGAATAATGACACTAATGGATAAATGATTCTCACTTGAAAGGAAGAAGCATGCCAAATATTAGACAGAGTCATAGAATTGGTACATCTCACTATACTCTTACTAACTATAGGTTGTGTTGTACCATCAACTGTCTGAATATTCTCTAGAATTGTTAGACAAGTATAGAAATCAAACTCACTAACATTACCCGTCACATGTCGAGATGCACCAGAATCTACTATCCATGTGGTGATTTTATAATAGTTATACAGGCAAGAGCATGCGTATGACGAGTCTATTTGCCTGAGTGAGCATAAGTAGTAGTGTTCCCTTTTGATGACGATAAGGAGCGTGCATTCGCAGTCACATCACCTGCTGCTTTATGGTTCCTTTTCAACATCTCCAAGAGCTCGTGATCCTCATCGGTAAAGATCATCCCTGTTTCTCCCACATTCTCCCCTACCATTAGATTTGACAGGTAGCCTCCTCTTCCACCTCCTTGACCCCCACGATTACGACCACGACCTCTAAACTGTCCACATTTACCAGTCTCTCTATCCTTTGGTGGCTGTGAACAAGCCTTGCTCAGGTGTCCCAATTCTCCCAGCTGTAGCACCTGGGGGTCTCTCCCTGAGCACCTGTCATACCTTTACTCGAGGAGGCCATAGATGATCGCATGCCTAGAAGTCCACTCAACTCAGAGCGTAGCCTCATGCTACTCTCTTCCTATACCATCGCTGTGATGGCCTCATCCAATGAAGGAATCGTCGTCTGGGTTAAGGGGATCGATCTCCTCTGATCAAAAGTTGAGTTCAGATGAACCAGAAACGACATAGTCCTCATTTGTGAAAAAATCTTCCCCTTCTTGCAACATAGATATTGTCACAAGTGCTCGAAATTTATGGAATAACAGTGAACTGATCTATCACATGAACCACTGACTCTATTTCACGCTGAATATAAAACACCCTCATGTGGTTCTCAGCTTCAGTATAGATCTTCTTCAGCTTTGCCCAAATATCACTCACTTTCCTAATGTCATCCATTGATAAGACAATTGATAGAACCATCGAGTTAAGTAACAAGGTGTAAAGCAAGGCATGTGTGGTTCTCCACTCATCCCTTTCAGTATTATCACTCTGGCTCGACACCCCTCAGGTATCCTTATAGTCACTTCCCTGCTAGAGGAGCCTCAATTTGAGGCGACCAACTCAGATACTTACCCGGTCCATCTAGCTTCAGATCCATATGAGGGAGATCTAGCTTCACCTGCTCAGAGCATTTACCGAGGTAGTGACTCTCATAGAGATGCTAGCTCCTTGTATGAGACCGATAAAGACCTTTAAACTTTGGAATCCATCTTCCCCAAAAGTTCCAATCCCTTACCTCCTGTGCTATCTTTGTCTCCTGACATTCTAAATCACAAAGATCAAGTCTAGATCCCACAGTCACACACAACTTTCTTCCTGCAAGTTCGTGCGACCAATTTGCCTTAGTCCGCACGAAGCCGCAACCCCTTTGTCCTGGACGCCAAACCACAGTTGCTTCGATCCTTTGTCTCCATGTTGTCAAATGCAACTCCAGAAATGGAGGCCCTGCTCTGCTAACTTCCTCATTCCCGAGTCACAATTCAAAGTTGTTTCTCACGGAAAAGGCAACAACGGGACTGTCACATACGAAAGACCACCAGAAACAAAGCTCTGCTCCGCTCCTTCCTCTCGTAGCAAGCCATAGAATCCCTTCATGACTGAACTCTACGAGACGCTCTCCTGCCTAGACTGTCGAGATCTTGTAGTGCCTTCTCAACGCCCGTATGACACAATGTCATGTCGCAATCCCGTCTGCTACGATCTACGATCCTGTCAGCCAATATTAGTGAAGTAAAGGAAGATTGATTCTCATCTCTGCTCTGATCACGTCTGTCACGATTCGCGAAAGAAAGAAAGATCAATCCCTGCACTCTCTACACCGATCGAGTTGCAGCGACTACGACACCAATCGAGACCAACGTGGACTGGCTGCTAGGTTAGGGCTTTGATACCAAATTGAAATGATTTTGTTAAACAAAACTTAATCTAATCATTGAAGACTTGGGCTTATATAGCCTTACAACATTCTTTAAAAATAAAAGGCTTGACTTCTTCCTATTTACAAATAGGACTTTTAAACTATATACAATTCTCAACATTTAGCTCTATGTGTTGCCTTTTCAACAGGTTGATGCCCACCATCGCTCTTTAGCAGTAACTTAACACTGTAGAATTATCAGCTCAATATTGATCTTTCTCTCTACATTATTTGACAATTACTTCAAGCCCCAACCAACAATGAAATCATATTGATATTCTTGTCATTTCCTAAAACGTGTAAGAATGAAACGTCCCTATAATTTTTTTATAATTGCATAAAACTATGATGATTTTTTTCATGAATTTTTTTTGACTGCTTGACTGCAAAAAATAAAAAACAAAAAAGGAAAGACTTTTTTAGCAAACTTGGGGATTTTATAACCAACTTGTATGCCATGCTCATAGAGATGCCATCCTCAATGTTAATGTCTTCTCTCTATGCACTGTAAAAGGTAATTTAAAAGTAAACATATGGCAAGGATTTGGATTTGGCTAATAGCTCAAAGTACTTGTCTCTTATTGTGTCTTCTCTTGGATTTTACTCTTCATATTTCAGTTAGCTTTACACAAAAGTCAAAGTCACTAGAATAATTCTTCTAGTAAAATCAACAGTAACTTCTAATCATTCACCTCCTTACACTCTGAGCCAATCAGGTAAAAAAAAAGCTTTAACCCTCAAACAGCGTCAATTTAGCACTATAGCTATTATTTTCTAATCACTTTCCCACTATGTTTTCAGGCATGCATTTCAAGACATTCCAATTTTCATCACTAGTAGTTGGACTAGGCAGTTCCTTAACAACTTGAAAGGTGACAAGGAAACATTTACTTCCCTATAAATTTACCCTAGAATATTTTGGCACGTATCTTTTTTGTACCTTCGGAGAAAAGCTTAAGGACCGAATTATGAAAATAAAAAAGAACTCTTTGCCCAGCAGTACTTGCCATCATAGCAAATCATCAACTTTATAACCTAACAACTCAACTTAGCCACCATTTTGAACCTACAACTCTCAAGTCAACAATTCAATTTATTCAACAATCTCACTCTGGAGTGCTATGCATAACCTTATCAACCTCTGGGAGATGGCACTTAAAATCATACAAATAGTGTCACTTCTTTTAAGAGCACATTCCAGAGTGCTCTTATAGCAATTATGGAAATAAAAAAGAACTCTTTGCCCAGTAGTATTTGCCATCATAGCAAATCATCAACTTTATAACCTAACAACTCAACTTAGCCACCATTTTGAACCTACAACTCTCAAGTCAACAATTCAATTTATTCAACAATCTCACTCTGGAGTGCTATGCATAACCTTATCAACCTCTGGGAAATGGCACTTAAAATCATACAAATAGTGTCAGTTCTTTTAAGAGCACGTTCCCCATTTTAACACACTGGAAATTTCTCCACAGTTCCACCAACCTAGTTATTTATTGCAACCTATAACTGAAACACCCAAAATTTAAGAATTAGATAAATGTTCGATAAATTTTTTAAGTATCTCAAATTTCGCATTCCTCAGAATTCAATCTTTTTATTTTTATAAAATTATATGCATCAAATTGATCAATTCGATATAGACCACTATATATTAATTATGAATGGAACGGGACAAAACTATATCTTATTATTTTTATTTTTTTATATAATATATATATATATATATATATATATATATATATATATCTGAGTATAACCAACAAATCTCTTGTGCTAAATTATGTTCTTTGATCTGTAGTATTCTGTACATTGATGTGTTTTATTTGTATTGCAATATCAGTACAGAACCATATGGGATTGTAATAACTAAAATATAAAATAATTTTCAGGTTTCCTTGTGTTTCAGGAAAATTTGTAGTCCTCTTTACTTACCAAAGACAATTGCTGCTAGCCATTCATTGACAACTCTAACCCAAGTACTGGCCCAGCCAACATCTATTGTCCATCTGCAAGATGAAATATAATTAGACTAGATTCTTTATATTTATTCATCCATTCATTAAGAGAGAAATAACACATTCAACAAAAAGCTTATAGTGTGATGAAAGGACGACTAGATGGCCCGATTATTTATGTTCAAATAGTTGTGGGCTCCCAAAATTCGAAAAGCACACCCCGGATTCTCGTCGAGAGCTTAATGCAGAGATTTGTTAAGTTTCCATGTCAAATTTTTAGAAGGAAGATGAGCTAGTAGATAAGACACTACCTAAGCGCAAGCGCCTATGGTTAATTACCCTTCCCGATGATAGGAGAGCAATTTCGATTAAGGCTAGTCATAGGGCACCAAGTATTCAGACTTAGTATATAACAACAGCAAATTTGAGAATTTAAATTATAAAAATTGTCATCGCCATGAGTTTGAAGCGTATGGTGGGGGAAATGATGATGAACCGATCAAGTTCTGGTTCCGTCATTCGGGTTGTCATGATGCTCGGTCTACTTAGTCAGTGGAGATAGTCGACCCAACATGACCGGAGGATCCTTATTAACAATCATGAGTTGCTTCGTCCAAGAGGAACTTGTAAATCTGGGCTAAATGTCTGCTTAAGAGTACTAATCTAAGTCGATTTTAGCTTACAGAGAGCTTTCCGCCGTATCGAATATACCATATGATTCAATACTCAAAAGGGAAGATAGTCATTTGAGAACATATGGCCTACAACTATGACTGTAATATAATGATGTCATTTCGCGGCAAACTACCCCGTCAGAGGGCTCTGGTCATAACCGCTTCTTTGTGGTGTCATTTGAGAACAATAACCACACAAAGAGAGGACTCAGGTCACATTTTTACTGACGTAAAATTTATTTTTGAGTATGAATTTAATAGTATATTTGATATGACATTGGTTCTTTGTAAGCTCGAGTCTGCATTATATTTGTCAACCTCGACAAATTATTGCGGAGGGTAAATGAATTTTTTACTTTAAACATTAAGTGACATAATTTTTCATTTAAATATATTTTTCTTTCATGATTTAAATTATTTTAATTTTATAAATAAACCCTTTCAGTTAAAATTTACGATTAACAGAGCCATCATTGGAGCTAACTCATAACTTACGTCACTAAAAAAACTAGTCTTATCAACTCCAGTTTTCGTAAGAAGGAGAATCGAACTAGCTCAGTGGAGGCCCAATCTTGCCGACTCTATTCCCGATGGAAGGAGGATTGGATTGACCAAAGTGTGAGACTTACAACCTTATCCTATAGGCAAGACGACCTGTTGCTCGCGCAGCATTCTCAGATGCTTAAATTTAGTGAACCAAGACAAGCAACAAAGCACATACGAGAGTTTAAATTTTATTAATTAGAATTGACTTTAAATAAATTAACCGGCATTTCGAGATATTTGGTTTTGAGCTTCAACACACATTTTTACCCGCACAACATTCTCGGATCTTGAGATTGAGCAGTTAACACAATCATATTATAATTGAAATGAGTGCAAATATTTTTACTTTAAGCTTCTAGTATCGTCTTTTGTCCACTTGTGCAGTTGGGGTTGCAGATCTAATGTTGATGAAGGCGTTTTGGACTTTGATTGTATATTTGAAATAATGTATCTCTCCCATACTTAACTCCTATTTGAGGGTTCATGTGGGCCACCCCTCACAGGTTTCATTCGAGCTTGTTGACGAGTTGTCGAGCACCCCGAAAGTCATGCAAGTTCTATTTATATTTAATCCCATCTTTTAAAATAATATAAGTAATCATTTTAGCATTTAATATGTAGCTTAGGAGCTTTCATTTGATTGCATTTTTTTTGTTCCGATAAGTTCAATCCAACAGCTCTTTCATGACCGATGCTTAGATATAAAGTTGGTAGCATTTCGACAGCTCTTCGGTGTTGTCCTTCGAAAGTTGCATCAGGAGTCTGGGTGTGCCCACCACTCAAAGAAAGGCATGTATGGGTGGCTTGCGCCATTGACGTAAAGATGTGTATCCCGCCATGCAAAAAAATGTGAACGGGCCTTCAAAAATGCAACAGGATCCCCTGCAATGTAAAAAAAGTGTATAAGAATGTCACTCGTGCAATCTCAGGTACTTGCAACATATTTCCCCACCGCATCAAGAAAGACGCTCACAAGTACTTAATTTTGAATTGTATATCGCATCTCGAGCGTCATGTGCAAGCTTCATCCCATCACGCTAAGAAAAGCGTGTATAAGGCTCCTCTCAATACAAAACGAGTTGAAATAAACATTTCAGAAGCTTTTTGATTTGCTCACCGTGTTGCCAGTGTTGCGTACAAGTTTGGTTCCACCACACTAAGAAAAGCGTGTATACGGTTCCGCTCCACACGCCAAACATGTAGTGATAGAAGTTTCAAGAATTGTGATTGTTATACCTTTCATGTGGCAGTGAAGATTTTAGCACAACTGCATGAATTTCACGTGCAACCATTCTCTCCCTCTGCGGCACCATTGACACGAGAAATATTTGCGTACGTAAGACGTACGCAGAGTTGCATACATATTAGGTTATTCAGAGGGTACATGTAGATTACACTTATGTTACGGGAGGAATTACAAGAGGTATAACCTAAGTGTAACCTACTTGTACCCTCCTAATAACCTAATATGTACGCAACTCTGCATATGTCTTAAGTACGCAAACAAATATTTCTCCCATTGACACACCCATGCATACACATACACATACATAATAAAAGATTTCATGAACTCCCCTTCACGAACTAAGCAAAACAGCAACTACTCCTGCATAATTTCAAACAGATTTCTCTGTTTACCTTGATTTCGTTGTTGTGTTCTCGGTGAAGTGGGTTAAAGGTCGCATGAGGTGTAGGGGTGGCTGTTTGACGATAGAGATAGTGAGTTTGTGAGGAGAGGGAATAGCTGGGTTTCTAGTGCGAAGTGTAGGTGATGGGGAGGGCTCTCAAGTAAGAAACGGGGTAGTAGTTGCTGCACTTGGCTTGTGCGGGTCGAGAGGAGAGGGATGGAGAGCGCAACGGGTAGGCGCACGAACAAGGTGACAAGCTGCTGTAGGAGCTTACGGGCTTGCAGGCGAGACTGCTGCGTGAGGAAGCGTTAGGGCATGCAACAAGGTGAAGGCGCGTGAGTTGTTTGCTGTCCGTTCGTTCGGAGGAGTGACGAGACAAGAGGAACGGCGGAGGAGGCAAGAAATCTGGTTGCTCGGGTTGTTGCGTCGGCGATAGTAGGCGAACTGCGGGCGCTTGGGGGTCGCCGGAAAATAAATGCTGTCCGTTCGTTCGGAGGAGTGACGAGACAAGAAGAAGGGCGGAGGAGGCAAGAAATCTGGGTGCTCGGGCTGTTGCGTCGGCGACAGTAGGCGAGCTGCGGGCGCTTGGGGGTCGCCGGAAAATAAAGAGGAAGGGGAAGAAGAGAGAGGATGGAGGAGGCGCTGTGGGGTCGCCGGCGAGGTAGGAGGGACTAAGGGAGAGAGGAGTTTGGGCTTGGCTGGTGTGGAGAACTTAGTGCCGGGTCGAGAACAGGGAGACGGAGCTCACAAATAGGAGGAGCGGAAATTAGGGCCTAGACAAATTCAACGTTCAGACAAATACAACTTTCTAGACTCAACGAAACAGTGCCAAACTTTTCTGTCTGGTCACCGTGTCTGCGGAATCATTCAATCACCGCTGCATCTCATCCGTTGTCCGCACATATGATGACCGGACAGAAAAAACGGTCTTTCGGGGAGGCTATTTGAGCAGTTTTTGGTAACGGTTCAGATATTTTACTTACAAATTTGCCAATTTCGATCATAGATCTCTCATCTGGTAATTTTGTTGTTATGAACTAAGTGTTACGGTATTCATCATCCGTTACTTTACCTTATATGCAATCGATTCAACTGGTGAAATATATTCGAGAGTCAGCAATAATACTCTTAAACAAATACAGGTTCAAAGTTTTTCATGCATATAATGACAAATTTTAAATTTATTGGTCAGTATTTAAAATACAAACTAAAATTAATAATATATATGAATTTTTCTATTTAGTGTTCTTGTTTTCATGTTTTATATTCATTTACCAATCACATAACGCAGTATGGATGCATTATGCAATTACATATTTGCACTTGATTTAATTTAAGATTTGATATTGTACATGGAACTTACTTCTGCATGGTTTTATGCACATTCCAGCCAATAAATAGCATCCCAAAGTACATGGAACCAATGGCAAAGACAAAATGGAAAAATCCATATCCATAAGGCACCTCGTCCTCAGAATTCCTTTCAATCTTTACAAACTGTATAATGCACAAACAAAGCAAAAATGCAACAGTAGTTTCTGCATAAAGAATTGATGGTAGAAAAATGAAATGATTGAATTCATGGCTAAATATGTCAAGTGACTGCTGCGTCTATGATTATGTACCTGAAGACATTTAGAATTCATTCCCGTTGAAAAGGTTGCAACAACAATGACAAGTATTGCAATTACCAAACTCTGCCACCAAATAGAGCTTACATAAGACTAGCTTGTTGAATAAAACTTCAGAGAAGGGAGACTTTGGTTAAAAAATCAATGTCTTGGGTCTACATTTACTACAAAAAACAACACTTTTAGTAATTTGTGAATATCTAGTTATGTTTTAGATTTTATAAAACCATCACAAACACCAAACTGCAATATTTGAAATAAATTATTGCTTAGTAATTCCCATTTGCAACAAAAAGCTTCTAGTTTTACCACAATGGTGAGCCAATCTGAACCATTTCCTAGTTCCACTTTCTGGTTGCAAATCTCTGTTTGAGGTTCACTGTCATTTAGAAATTTGAAATCATAAATATGATAAAAACTAAGAGAATAGGTTGGCAAAGAAATTGAAGTGAATAAGTTTAGCGAACTCCGATGAATTGGAAAGATGTAATGAAGAAAATAATCAGAGAAGAATTGTTCGTGAATAGTACCTTCGAATTCCACACCAACAAAGAAAGACAATATAAGCTCCCATCAGGCCTGGTGATAGGTAACCTGCTCTAACCTGTTTAAGAAATGAAAATTTATGAGGTTCATATGGATTTGCAATACAATTATTGTCTAACAAGCAAAAGATTAATTGTAAATCTCACCTTAGGGTGCATTGAGACAAAAGTCATAATTTGTAAGAGCAAAAGGGTAAGAGTGATGAATAAGATGTTGAGCCTGCAGGATAGCTTCGATGCGTACCATACATACATCATGATACATCCCACAATGGATGCAACATATGCAACAATTGAGATAATCATTACTTGGATATGGCTGCATGTCAGAAAATGTAATATGACTAACAGAAAAAAAAATGTGGGATAAGACTTTTGAAAGCAAACATACATGATCATGAAAATGTAATCTCACTCATTATTGGATGGTTTCAGATAATCATTGTTTGTATTTTGTTATCAAGTCAACTCCATGTGAATGTTCAAATGCCATAATTTTTAGAATTCTTATTAAATTAAAATCTTGATACCGTTAAGAAAAAATATGTATATATTTGCTAACATTCCAAAATAAAATAAGAACATAAAGCATACCATCTCTCTGCATATTTCTCAGAGTGGAAACAATCATTCAACCAATTGATGAAGCTTATTACACTAATGAGTTGAATAACAAGGAAGGTCCTGAAACAATCAGATCAAAAATAGTCAAATGATTAGTAGTTATCTTAAACAAGATAAATAGAGAAATCCTAATTTAACCTTTTTTAACTAAGGCTTGCTCAAAAATATTTCTAAACCATATATTGAGAAAAAAATGCGGTGGACTTTATCAAACACATATTAAGTGTAGCATGTCATTTAAAGAGATGTGTTAAAAAGTGTTGATTATGCACATATGCAAAGCATTGTTGAGATGAAGAAAAGTCTTGTCCACCAACTGAAGTCAGCATATTTTCAATATCATCGCCAAAATACATATTATTAAAGAAGTGATGTACACCCTTTATTTCGTATGTTATAGAAGTGCATGTTGACAACCATTAGCTTTATTGGCATTGGAAAATTGCCTTTCTGAGTTAATATATAAAGAAAAAGAGGAAAACATACCCTGCACCGACATGCGCTAGCTTTCCTGCATCATAGCATGTAACATGAAATGAATAAGCAAAAAAATTTAAATCACAAATTGCATTAAAAAAATTGCTCACCATAAATGAAGAAAAATTCTGATGGCATGAAAAAGGGAACAAGCATGAATAGCATCCACATGAGCATTTTAGCTAACCACCACTCACAGTGCCATGAATTTCTTGCATCCCAAATCTTCTTTGTGCCCACAGTTGTAACAAAAAGAACAGAGAAGTACATCTAAACAACAAATGAAGGATAAAATGCCACTATTCTGATATTATTTTAATCAAGTGTTGTTTCATATTTGCTCATAAAATAGAGAAAATTGACACAAAAGTATTGCATTGACTAACCAAATCAGCTTGATTTGGTTTGGATTTGATTTGATTCGAGCTTGAAAATTGCATCAAATGATTGTTTTGGTATTGAATCATATTAAAACAAATTGTATCTTGAAACATCAAATTAATTATGGACCCCACATTTATAAAAATGAATGTATTTTTCAACCATAATACACACAAAATCAAGTAAAAAATATTGGACCAAAGTGATGAGCCCCTAATCCAAGTCATAGATTTTTATTAAGTTTCTCATCCTAGATAGAAAATGTAGCCTACAAGTTTATTATTGTGTAAATTCTAGAATTCACTTCTAGTATTTGGCTTGGTTCTAAATTGTTAGCACAACCCCTACAAGAAAGAGTATAAGCATGATGAAAATTTTGTATTTTTATTGTATAAACCCCATTACTCGTAAAAATGTGAACTGATTAACAAATGAAGGATACAAAACAGCCAAAACTGATACGAAGCACACCCTCTGTTCCTAAGCAGTAGCTTGCTCCATGGCATCCTTTCAATCCTACAATATAATGAAGAAAAAAGAAACTTAGGAAATATAGCAAAGTAGAAGAAAGTAGAAGAAGATAGAAGAAGAAGAAGAAGAAGAGGAATGCATACTGTGAAGCTCTGAGAGCACTGTATGGCCATAATCTCTAACAGTCCATGCAAGGAGACTTGTGATGAAGAAGATGAACGCATATATGTAGCGTGCAATGTAAGGATTGGGACAAAGAAAGAGGCGGGTAAACCAAGAGTTTTTCTTACTATATCCTAGATCCTCGATGGCAATGGAAATATTGGTCATCTCATCTGTTACCACAATAGGAGAAGATAAAGGAGAATTTGAAATAAAAATAGAAAATCAGAAAAGAATTAATGAAGCTAGCTTCTGATGCAAAATTAATCAGTAGTGCATTTTTTTCTATAAAAAATAGCACACACCCACACAGACAATTCTTTATTAATATACAAGCAAAATGACATTCAACTTTACCTGTTGATTTATGTAGATGGCATACTTATCACAACGAGCTCATTGGCTCTGTACAGTATTTAACCATTACTAGTGCTGACATCTCTTTTGCAGTTAATTATTTAAGTCAGTTTATGCATCAACCATTCTTGTAAAATTTTCAACAATTAAAAGGTTATTTCGCTATCTCAAAGGTACAAAAAATTTTAGCATACCAATATACCCCCCCCCAAGCACCTTTGCCATCACTCTCGCCCATTGTCCGGTATTTCTTGCCCGGACAAATCATATCGAGGTGGACTAACACTTCATAGGAGATCACATTCGACTCAATGAGATCAAGCTACAACACTTAATGACTGAGGATCATACTGCAGACATACTTACCAAGCCCCCTTCTCTTCTGCTGAGTTCGGTTGTCTGGTTGGGGCATATATGTGTCAGAGTTGGCTTTATATATAATTATATAATATGGACTTTGTCCATTTCACCCTTCTATTTACTTGTTTGCCATTAGATCTTCTATTTAAAGTCAAGCCTTCTCTATTGTAATTTGATCAGAAATGAAATAGAATAAAAATCCACTCATCTCTCTTTAAGCTTGGTGTTCTCTGTTTCTCTTCTTCGCATCTTCTCCTTCTCCTTTCTTTTCTTCTTCGTCTTCACAATTGGTCCTGTCATTTCTTCCCCAACAAGCTCTATTGCAAGCCATGATCCGGCAATGACTTCTCTAACAAGCTCCACTTGCTTATCAACAATGCGAGTTAAATTTTACAACTAGGGAATTCTCCTATCCCCATTTCTCATCTACCCAAACTCTCACACAAATTTCATAACTTGCAACAAGTTCATCAATTTTTAGTAAAATTCTCAAATGCACGATCAGAACAAGCGCAGATGCAGAAGCAATTCAAAAAGTGCGTGGCATTAATAAAACAAAGTTGAAATGAAAACAAAATGACCGGAAGAAGACGGAAATCACTAATTTCTGAAGCCAAGTTCAATCTGAATATCTGAATACTGTTACTGACCTCCGGAGGAAGAAGCTCCGGCGACCGTTGGCCAGCAGAAGCTCAGGGATGCTGTCTCCCCCTCCGTTCTCCACAGCACATGACAGTGCAGAATGAGAGCTTGAAGATGGAATGAGAGAAGAGGGAGAAAGGAAAGGTTTGGACTTTTGCAGAGATGCACATCTTCTCCTTTATTGCTTTGCCTTGCTGTTCCCGTTAGAATAATTGCACAAGCAACACATGACTCACGCAACAGAAGCTTATACGGCCCAATCCCCTCTCCTGCATTCCTTTGCTTTCCCGAAAAATATTACGTGCAGATCGCATTGGGTGCAAATTTGTTGTTATTATGATGGCATTGTAATGAAAACTATTACGTTACATATAAGTTGAATATGTGCTAAGTATTATCAAATACTAACAATTCATATATACAAATTTTGCACATAATATTCTCTGTTAGGCTCCGACCATATTTTTATGACTGCTCTGATCTGTGGGACCCAGGGGCTCATGTTCGGCTCGTTTATATTTCAAGCTTAAAAAGTGTGTTCGTGTTCGGCTCGTTCGCGGCTCGTTCGCTTATTAGCAGAACACGAGCCGTTCACGAACAAAGAGTCGTTTTGACAACCCTAATCAAGTAATCATATACAACCCTAATCAAGTAGTCATAAGATGTTAAGGATCGGAGCAAGATTTAAAACATCATTTGAATTTAATTTAATAATTTTTATTCTATTTTTTTAATTAATATTTTTAATTATT